AAATTCTCCCATTATTTCACAACAAGCAAACAGGTGGCAGCTGAACTGGAGTGCTTAAAACCATGTCCAACAAGCATGGACAAGGACAAATTGTTCAATAGGATTTGCCCTTGTCTCAGCTTGCAGCTGAACCAGCTCTCAAAGCTACACCCACTGCCGACACCCACGCTGGGTAATCCTAAACATTCTCTAGTTTTTAATCCATCAGCTGGAAATTCTCCCCACAAAACAAAATCTGCACTATTTAAAGCTACACCCAAAAAGGGTCCCCAACATTTTCACAGCAACAGCATCCTGTTGACACACTGTGGAAGCACAACCAAGCAGTGCCAAATAAATAGGTTTTAGGAGGAAAAGAGACTTCTTCGCTCTGACCTTGGATCATGGTTAAAAAAAGAGAGAGAGCACAAAGGCCATGAATGTAGAAGTCCAGGATTGGACTTCAGAAAAAACAAATCAAATGCAAATCAACACTATGGATGCCCTGTTGTCCTGGACATTTACTTAAGAAAGCAGTATTTATACTACCATTGCTAGCAATAGTAGCATAACAGCATTAATAAGGGTAAATTAATGTGAAGAATGGTGGCATAAAATGGTAACATAGTATCTCATACCACTTATTGGGAATATGCATGTCACAGCTCTTTTGCATTTTCTCTCTCTTTGATGGTCTACCAAGACTCATACCAATAGAAGATCTTCCAGACATTTACAGCATGATCCAATAAGGCTGTTCCTAACCCTCCAAATTCAGAAATTACTTGACAATGGAAGAAACACTGAGGCAAGGATTGCCTTCCTGCTTCACTTAAGACCGCTGATTCCGGCAATTTAAATATTTCAACTGCTTACAATGAGGAGGGGCTGAGGTCTGTTTCACTCCACCCCTCCCTGTTCCCAAACCACCATTTCCGAGGTCGCTCTTATGACCCTGCAATGGCAACCCATGTTCTTTACCAATCAGCTTCACATGAAGAGAAACAGCACCCTGAATTTCGAGTCCCAGCTCCTAGCTCAGACTGCTTTTCCAAGGTTTGAACTGGGACTCCTACCTTTCCGATGAGCCCTAGGATCACATCTTGATACACTGGATTTTAAAGGAAACATAATCAACTTGGATTTCTACATCCTTTGATTGAGCCACCTCCACACACATGCACTTTATGTCTGACTTTTGCTCAGATGTGTTCCTAGATTTATTTTGATGATCCAGTTTCTAATATTTAAATCCCACAGAATTCATGGGGTTTATTCCCAGGAGTAGATGGTTTAACAATTTTCACTGGATCACATGGGAAGACACCAGATGAAAGATGTGATCAGGCCCCAACACCCAATCTTGTGACACACCAACTTGGAATAAAACCCCAGTGAATTTAATAGGACTTACTCTCAAGTAAGTGTACACAGAATTATAGCCAGGGGAAGCAATCCAACAGACCTCTGGACAGCACCTGAAGGCCCAGAGGGATTCCGATTCCCCACTCCATTAGAAATAGAATTCCAAACTTGGAAGAGGAAATCAGGGGAATGACACCCCCCACACACACCAGTTCCAACCTTGAAGGTGAGAGGCAGGGACTTAAAGGCCAGGATAAGAGCTATTTTAAAGCCTCTTTAACCTCCTCTCACAAACACCCCAAGATTTTTCCAACTAGACAAGCAAAAAGGCTAGTGAAAAATGCAGAGCTGAAAAGCACAGAGACAACAATCATCTCCACCACCAATTCTTCTGCCCTGCATTAGATACTCATAAGCCTCCGAGTTCAGGAGTTTAGATCAAAGATGCAACCCATAGGACTGTGCCCTAAATTGGCATTTCTTCTGCACACCATTAGCAAAGGCAAATCTGCTTTATGTAAAGGATAGGTCTGAACTGTAAACAGCAATATTTGGCAAACCCTTCACGCTTCTGATCAACTGGCCTCTAATCTAACAAGAAACTGTGCCACTGCAAATCTGTTGGCCTTCCAGGTGCCACAGGGCTCTTCGGTGGGTGTTACTGACAGTCCAAGACAGCTTCCTGCTTCTGGAACTTGTCTGCATGTTCCACACTGCAAGATCAAATATAAAACTGATGGACAGGGGTTTTTTTCCTTATCCTCAGAAACTGCTGCATAATGTTCATCATAAACAAAAAACCCCACAAAATTCTTTTTCCCTGACTGATGTTTGTTTCCTTTAAAACACATCTAGCCTCTCTGTTAAGCTCTCCAGAACTGATATGTTCTTGAAAGGGGCAAGAGAAAAATGTTCCAGGTGAACACTTCTTCACCTGCAGGTAGCAGCTCAAGCATGACTTGAAGATTTATCTGCTTCCTGTTGGAAAGAATGGAAGGATAAGTTCTGCTTTTAACCATTGGTAGGAATGTTCCATCTGGCAGGAAGACGACATCTGCTAAAATGTTCCCACTGCTGAAGTGGCCTTAATGAAAATGATTGCAGGTTTTGTTTGGAAGCCCTTCCCTCCCAAGAGATTTGCAGGCTGCTCAACAAAAGAGGATCTGGAACCCAATCGCATCACAAAGAGTTCATTATGACAGGCTCCTAATGTACAGGGCTCCTCTCACCCACCCCCATCTAAAGAAACTGCACTCCTATTATCTCCAGAGGGCTGCTCAGATGGAAATAAAAAGGATTTTGAAAAAAGCAGCAAAAAAACCCAACTTCCATTCAAGGCACACAGGCTGCAACCCGGATCCCGGCCCTTCATTAACAGCTTCTTTGTAGTTCGGGAACTGGGCGCACTCACCTACGGCCTCCAAAAGTCAATCTTTCACCTACAAGTAGCATCCTTCCTCCCTGACTTCTTTGTAGGAAAAGGGGTGAAGGAGAACGAACCTATCTCCATGGCTAGCAAAAACTACAGCAAAGCACCTTAAGCTTAACAATTGAGTGGGCATAAAACTGGCAGCTGGGTTCAACTCCTGCCACCCATTCTCTCCAACTAGTTTGTGCTTCCCTCTCTGATATGTTTTCCCTGATATGTTTCTCCCGATTTAAAAAAACAAACATTTCACCCTTGCTGAAAAAGAACACTGCAATCTTCTCTGACAGCTACCCTCACCTTCTATGGTCCTACAACTGGCCTGAAATGGCTCACGCTCCCTTGCGATGGCCATGAGCAAGGGTGCTTGGTACTCCACCAGTAGGCAATGTCCACACCTTAATGAGTAGTTACTTTCCACTGAATTAACTCTATTCTTGTATCTATAACCTGCCAGATCACCTGCATTCATCCAACCCAGTATTGCCAATACAGATTGGACAGTACCCTCCAATGAAAAGGTAAAAGTTTGCAGAGTGGAAACAGCTATCAAGCATCTTTTTTTAGTAGAAATGTTGAAAATTGAACCTGTAACCTTCTACATGCAAAGTAAATTATTATTCGCTGAGTTTTATGGCCCTTTTTACCTGCAACTAAAAGTACACTATGCATACAGATCTTGACCAACAACCTTGCTACGACATAACTGAAATATGGAGTGCTGTAGAGAAAACACAATACTTCGAAACAGTCAGCATTATTGCAAATACAAGTATGCATCCTTGCTCAGTCTTGCATTTATCCCTTGTCCTGGTCACCTTGGGCTACTAGAGTTTTTATCCAGGTGAGTACATGGTACTCTATAGAGTGATGAGGCTGCCACAGAAGGAAAAAGTTGCTCCTGTGCCAGCCCACTGGGTTTTTGAACTGGAAAAAGAGGACAACATGGTTAGTGGAGAAAGGAGAGACTTGCTCCTCTCCACCAGCCTATAAGTAGGCTTTTCATTAAAAAAAAAAAAAAAAAAATCAGTCAGCTGAAATCAGTTTCCAATCAGTTGCCTCTTAGCAACCTCGTTTAAAAAAAAAGGTTCAGGTCAGTAACTCTTCACCTTTCCACACAAGATGGTGGGGCACAAAGTTCAGGCAGCTGCTGCCTAAATTCAAATCCCCTTTAAAAACAGAAGAACCGGCTCAAAAGTTCACAACCAAGTCCACCACTCTGTTTTCTAAGCAGGGCCAACTGCTTCTGGGAGTCTGAATACAATGGTCTCCCCTATCTGTGCCCAACATCCTGTATCCAAGGATATACTGCCTCTGCCTATGGAGGTTCCAGGGAGGTATTGCAGTTCACCATTTGCAATCACATCGTTGCCTTGTGACTAAACATGTGGCTGTAAGTATATTTCCAGGAAACACAGCTACATATGGCAATTCACAATGTATGCATTTATTAGTTTATCACCCTGGAGTAAATTGGCCCTTGCCCCCTCCACCATTAGTAAAAAGGGCTAGCAGTAGATACACGGGTAAGAAAATGAAACGAAAACCTTATTTGAATACTATCAGGTTTATATCTTCCCGAGGCCTAGGGAATTGGGAGGGGCAGGCGAGAAGAACACTGAGAGCAAAACAAATATTCAAAGTCCTGGTTTAGTATTCATTGCAGGATATATACAAATGCCTTTCCTGGTTCAGCCCCACCTCGAGGGTTTTGAATATGGAGTGCTGACTCTCTCCACAGTGGCTCTCCCTCTATTTTATCATCATCATTATTCAATGGCTCCGTTTAGACTAACAATTAGGACAATCCCAAGGGACTCTGGAAAATCCTGGGCCTCGAAGGTTGAAAGAGAAAGATACAGATGCCAATATACAACTAAAAAAGAAACATGCAAACAGCTAGATAATTTTTATTATTGTTGTCGTGAGGATGATATTACCAAGATTAAACAAGCCGCAACTCTTTGGGGAAAAGCGATATGCAGCTAATGTCAATACAGGGCAGAATTCCTTCATCTGCATGCAACACACCAGGGAAGGGAGGGAAAGAGCAAGAAGAGAGGCGTTTGGGTGATTCCCCTCCCACCCCCAGCCATCATTTCAATGCAGGTGGAATTTGTAGAGTCGATTCTCAGGCAGGGATCTGCCAATCGCAGTCAGCCGAGGGGCCCGCATCTCTCGCCCACTCTCCAGCCCCGTCCAAGCCCGATCCACCCCTCAGCCTTCTTACCTTCATGTCACTGATGGTGGTCTGGAAGAGTCCTCCAAGCGCACTACATTCCTTTTCTATCACAGCCTCCATTTTTCCCCCCAGCTCAGAAGGACACGAAGAAAACTGTTGTGCTTTCACTAGCAATCTCAGCTCCCCCCGCGCGCGCACCCTAAATATATATATAATAAAACCTCTCGCTTCAATTGCTACCTCGGGGGGGGAATAAGAAAAATCCGAGTTTGCCTTCTAGTGAAAAAGCAGCGAAGAATTCAATCTCAAACGCAGCAGATCCAAGAGCTAACCTAACCCTGCTTTGCGCCTCTCCAGCTTGTTAGCCTGCTGTATTATTGGTATTTGGTGGTTAACACACCGCTATTGCAATCCCACCCCGAGAAAAGATCAAGACGTCTCTATCCCCCACACACAAGGATAGCAGCAGAACCCATCGCTTTCCATTCTGACTCATGCCCCCACATGCACAACAAGTAGGCAGGACCGATCTCAACTGGAGAAGAGCAGCAACGCGAGCTGTTTAAAAATGCATCGGATGCACCAGAAGGTCTGCTGCCTCCCCCGACAACCCCCTCCCCCGCATCCAACTATTCATTTAACAGCTGCAGATCCGATCTTGCATACACACGCGTAACACACAGAACAACCACCCAAAACTCGTTCGCCAAATCGGCTGTTTCTCCTAAAGAAATAAAAATTAAATTCCAATTAAAAAACAGCAGCCCTCTGCAAAAATAAAAATTAAGCAAATACCTCCACCCAAAAAACCCAGCCAAAAATACCCCTATTGCATTGAATGTATCAAGCCTATCAGAGGGAGAGGACAGGAAGATTAACTGCGGTGCTTTTATTCGCAAGCACCAGATCTGCTGCTTTTTAGATAACCCCCCCTCCCCAAGGTAGCAAGCCAAAGCACAAAGAAAGCCCCTTCCCACCCAAAATGCACTCCAGCGTGCCGATTCCTCAGCTTACAATCCCCTCCCAGCTCCACTACAAGTCTTTTCTCTCTGCCGTAGCGCCCAACCAAGTCTGCACGCAAGCGCGCGCTGAAGCAGCGACTGCTGCTTCTTTGGAACCTTGTTTCCCCGGGAAGAGGCGTCACGAGCTCAGAATGCCCGGGCCGCGGCTCCTGATTGGCGGAGAGGGGAAGTGCTGGAAGGCTCTCTCTCGAGCGCCGCCTAACAGGCAAGCGCGCCGGTCCTTCCGAGTGGGAGGGCTCGAAGGTCGCCGGGCCGAGTACCCCTTGCGGTGGATTCCCGGCCAATTTCTATTAGACAAGGGTTCTAGGGAGGGAAAATGCAGCAGGAACTGTAGACGCTGAGCCTTGGATTTTTTTTTTTAAAAAGCATTAAATCCAACTGCACGCAAATGAAAAGAATCCACATAACGTAATAGCTTTACTAGGTCAACACAAAATTACCAAGAATTGTGCAAGCTTTCTCCAGGCCTCTTCATCAGGCAAGGGAGACAAAATAACCACTGGGTAGATGTTGTCAGGCTGTTGTTTTTTTTAAATAACTTAAACTTATTTATTTTTATTTTATTTATTAAATTATTTATTAAAACATTTTTATGCCGCCCCATTCGCCGAAGCCTCGGGGCGGCTTACAACAATAAATAAAACCACATAAACTTCTGCTTTACAGAAAAAATATAGGTAGACTCCTAACAGATCCAATGCAAATATATATCTAAAAATATTTATTTATCCTCATAGCCCATCCTGCCAGAATATCTTACATAGTTACATCTAAGTGCTTAAAGTTAGTTGTGTGCTAAAATTACACAGATTTGATATTCTACACACCTACACATTTCATTTTTGTCTTTCAGGGGCTTTGTTGTTAGTTGCGAAGTCGTGTCCATCCCATTGGGACCCCATGGATAACATTCCTCCAGGCTCTCCTTTCCTCCACCATCCCCCAGAGTCCACTTAAGCTCACACTGACTGCTTCAGTGACTCCATCTAGTTGCATACAATTTTACTACTTTGAATCTGCCCAGAGTCATTGTCAATGTTCTCCTGAGTGGTATGTTAGGGTTAGACTTCTATTAACTATTTTAATCTCATTCCTGTCATTCCCTTCTCTCTCTAGCTGCTCCTCCTTGTTACAGCAGCCAATGCAGGAGCCACCACCTATGAGGACGGAAAGGTACTGGCTGCTTCTTTATCCCAAGGCATCAGGGAATGTTTGCATTGATTCTCCAGCTCTTGAACAGACAATCCTCCAAAACAGGAATAACAATAGCTTCTTGACTCTCCTGTTAATAGAATGAGTTATATCATTACTACAAAGAATGCTGTGCATAAAATTCAGAATTTTAAAATGAAGGGATTCTATTATTTCTAGAACATGAAAAGAGAAACCCAGGCCAGCTCAGGACTATCAGCCAGGTGATATGCATGTCAACTCAAAAGTAAGTTCAACTAATATTAGTAGGATTAGTTCCCAGAAAGCATGCATTTAACATATCTTTAGATTCCCATGGAGTCCGGAGTTCCCACTGTAGATTATCCTTTCTCAAAGCATTCCCTGAAATACCTCCCTGAACTATTCCACCATTGCATCTGCTGGATCTGGACAACTTTTCATTAATGGCTAACTTCTTACAGCATAAAGACAGACTCAGAAAAGTTGTTTATATGCACCATTCCAAGCAATGACTGGAACAACAATAGAAAGGAAATTTCAAAGCAAGGCTGCAATCCTAGGAATGCTTAGGGCTTTTATGAGATCAGATCAGGCTGCATGGCCACCTGTTCTTGATAGAATGTACCTACTGTGCAACTTTTAAAGGTACAGCATCCTTCCAATTACGATTTGAACAAAAACAAACGTTGCTATAGGATTTGTCTCCCACTTTTTACCAAATGTGAAATTACCGTATTTTTCGCTCTATAAGACGCACCTGACCATAAGATGCACCTAGTTTTTAGAGGAGGGATCCATGGAAAGCTTCCTGATAATCACAGGCACATTCCCCATCACTTCCCCATGGGCTTCATTAAAAGATGGGTTGCCATTTGAAAACACACACCAACCTGTGATTAACAGCTCTCACCTGTGCCGGAGGAGGGGGGCGGAGCAGGGCGCACCAAGCACGTGCCGGCCAGGTGTGGTGCAGCCAGCCCGACAGCGTACCAGCGGTGGTCTTCGGCAGGTCTTCCTGGGTGGTGGAGGTGAGCAGTCCGTCTCTCCGTATGGCTGGCGGGTTAAAGCCCGCGGCTCCTCCTCCTCTGCACCGCTCCCCCTGAGCAGCACAGCTCTCACCTGTGCTGGGGGGGGGGGGTGGAGCAGCATGCATGCCGAGCTCGTGCTGGCCAGGTGGTGCCACGTGGTGCAGGCAGGCCGGCAGCATCCTGGGCGTCGGGCACACACACATTCGCTCTATAAGACACACAGACATTTCCCCTTACTTTTAAGGGGGGGAAAGTGCATCTTATAGAGCGAAAAATATGGTACAACAGAATAACATGCACAGGGTTATTTATTTATTCAATCTGTTCCCCTGTCTTTCCACCAAAGAAATTGTGCTCAGGTTGCCTAACAGTAGCAATAAGTGCATGCCGGAAGGTCTGTTGCCTTTCTTGATAATATCTTTCTGGATAATTGGGGAGGAATTACAGCTCAGGGGCAGCCCCTGCTATCTCCAGTTGGGGAAATCAGGCAAGACATTATGAAAAAGAAACTCTGGAAAGGTACAGCCAGTTAGAACAGATGTTGTTGAACAGCTAATCTAGCCTGGTGTAACATAGCCTTCTGAGTTACCTTTTCTCCATTGTGAGGGTTTAAGTGTTTTGTAAGATCTTTGTTACATGCTGCTTAGTTGCCTTGACTCACCTGGCAACTGAACAACATTTCATGCAAATACATAAGCCCAGTATTATATTTTGGTGTTCAGAATTTACCTATTCTTTGCTCCAAGCGCTTAGATGGCCCTAATAACTTTTCTGAGTCCCACACCTGGGCTAAACCTAATTGAGCAGTAGGTGATAAAAGCTGTTTTCCTTCTGGCACAGCTGCTTCAACTTGCAAAATAAATCCACATTCCTCAGTCTTATGTATAAATGTGTTTAACCTTACATGCTGGGCCTGATCCAGAAAACACTTTGCTGATGCAAGGTGAACTTATTTAAATGAGGAAGCCCAAAGCCATTTTCTAATCTAGAGCTATGGGCCTACTCTAACTTTGGACTAGGGCAAAAGATGGGATCTGGGATTAATTTATATGAACAACTAAAGAATAAGTAAGAGTGCACACTTCAAATCTTTCCCAACCTGGGAAAGGCCATCTTTTAGAGGTCCTTTAACTTGGAGTCCTACATTGAGCAGGGAGTTGGACCTGATGGCCTTTGGGACCATTCCAACTCCCCCATTCAATGGTTCTATGGCAGCTTCCCAATCTCCATCATTCCTAGCCATCTGGAGGATGATAAGTTGGGGAAGGGTGCTCTATGCTAAAAATGCGCAACTTCGGTTGCCTCTTGGAGCTACTGTTAGCTAGCGTCAACGTAGAATTAATTATAAAAAGGTAGGAAACAAGGATCCCATGGAATGCAACACAGGTAGTAGGCGCTTGTCTCATCTTTCATGACAAAGACCTAACCGCACATGGAGCTTGTTACAATATACACCCTCCATTCAGGGTTTGCTTCTATCCAGTGCTTTTTTTTGTAAGAAAAAGGGTGCTGGAACTCATGAAATTATTTACCTTTCGCACGTAGTCAATCACTGAACGCACACCCACACATTTCAGTTGTGTGACGAAACATAATGGTCGCCACCCGCAGTAAGCACTCAGCGTGCGGCCACACGACCAAGCACAAGCCGAGCAGCGCCACAAGCCGAGCAGCACCATCACAACCAGCACGGACGAAGTACACATGCACCAGACTCAACACACAAGCAGCCCGCATGCACCGTTTTAATGATTTTGCCGCCAACCTGCTACGCTTGACAGGGCGATTCAAATCCCCGTGGACCAAACATCAAATTTTCAAAAGTTACTTTTAAAACTTGGAAAATCTGTCAAAAAAGGTGCCGGAACTCCATTCCGGTGTGTTCTATGACATAAAAAGCACTGCTTCTATCACTCCCTTCGGTCCTGATTTGGTACTAGCCATTGTGCAATTACATGCAACTACAATGGAGAACCGAAGAAAGCATTTTAAGTTCCTACCAACACCCTCTGTGCAATTTATATCTTTATGCACAATATTGTTCTAAAGGTGTTTTTCATATCTGTGAAATACCTTTCTGTATCAATTCTTTAGACATGATAGAGATAGAGATCAATAGGTTGGTGTTTGAAGGGAGCGGGCAATGAAGTCCTGCAAAGAAATTCTGATTAATGACTTTTTTATACATAGTAGCTCCTTCAGCCACTGGAATTTGCATCAAAAATCATATACATAGGTAAAGGGCTACAGGTGCCCAAGGCAGTGGTGGGCGATTTGTGGCCTTCCCAGTGCTTTGCCCTACAAACCCCATCATTCCTCACTATTGGCTATGCTGGCTAAGACTGATAGGAATTGTAGTCTAAAACATTCGGAAGTCTACCAGGTGCTCACCTGTGGCCTAAGTCCTGGTCCTGTAGCAACCCACATGACAGATCCACTCTGAAGGCTCCAGACATCGTGCGTACACATGCATAAGAGAAAGAGAAGGGAGCTGGAAGGAAGGTAGAACTATTGTGACTCCGTGGATAGACGGCTGGAGAGACCCAGTTTCTAGCACCCACCTGGTCATGAAGCTCACTGGCGACTTTGGGGTTGTCACTTACCTTCAGCCTGACCTACTTTATAGGTCTTCCTGAGAATAAAATGGAAAGGATTATGTGAAGCATTTTGGGTGTCTTTCAAGAGAAAAATGGTCAGGATATAAAAACAGTAAATAAAAACCCTATAAAATTGTTTTACAAAATAAAAGAAGCGCAGAGGGAGGGAGGCAAGCTGCAGGAGGGGGGTCAGCCTTTTTCACGGGTGACCCCCAAGGTGATGATGGCAATGGGGCACACTG